CTGACAACCTGCCCCCGAGTCCCGGGCGGTGGCGCAGCAGGGCTCAGGCAGGCAGGCTGCTTGGGTGCCGTGGCCGGTGGCCCCATGCCGCTCCCAGAAGCAGCCAGCTGGGGGGGGGGGGGCTGGGGAGGAGGTGGCTGTCCCCCTCCTCCCAAGGGGTGCGCAGAGAGGTGCCAGCAGCAGGGCTACGGCGGCTCCCTGCCCGCTCCGGCTCCCTCCCTCTGCGCCGCTTCGCTCCCAGAAGCAACCGGCATGTCCCTGCGGCCCCTGGGGAGGGGGTGTCTCCCTGCATTGCCCCCACCCTGAGCGCCAACTCCGCAGCTCCCATAGAGAAGGATGGGGTAGGGGATATTGTGAATTTCAGGCAGTTCTAACGATCCATGCAAAGTCCAGATGATCACACTCTGTGAAAGGCAGGCCACATATAGCACCAGTCCACGGCCTCTCATTGGACTTTTGTGCAGAAGCAGAGATCAAGACCAGAATCCTTCCCTCTCCACTCCCAGTGCTACTCAGGCCCTCATTGGCCAGCTGAGAATCCCCTTGGCCTTAGGGAGGTGTCAGGTGGCATAGCCAGCTCCCCCTCAATTGTCCCTTCCCTGAAGGGGGATTTTATCCATCTAGCTTAGGAATTTACATGCCCCTCACCCACTGTAATAAGTGAGGGGCTTCACAATCTTTAATGTAGTTATCCTGACAATACCTGGGCGAGGCTAGGCAGAGCGATTATCCCCATTTTACAGGTGGGAAACTGAGACACAACGAAACCAAGTGAGTTAGCGAAGGTCACACAGGGTGTGGTAGATCGGGGCATAGAATACAGGTGTTCTGAGCCCCAAGCACTCACCCTAACCACTGGGTCATCTGTCCTCTCTTCGGAGCAGAAGAGGTGTAGGTTGAAGTACACCTATGGTCCACCAGTTCTTAACCAGTGTATGGTCCCCTAGGGACCAAAGCCAGCTGCCAGGCATGAGAGCAGCCCCTAAGCTGCTCTAACATCAGTGGCCTTGGGCCTGCACTGATGCACCATGAGACCCAGAGAGATGTAACTTGCTTCCTGCACCAAGGAGAGAATCTGGGCTCTAATTTGCAGGCACCATTCTCCTCTCCCTTTGCAAGTCAGGAGTAACTGCCATCGCTGGTGTATGTGAATGGGGAACCAGGCCCTTTGCAGGCTTTGCTGCGTCGCCTCACAAATCCGGTACACATGTGCAATGAGATTGGAATCTAGGTTCCAGGCACATCCCTGGCAATGAACACCCAGAGAGTAATCAACAACCTCTCTAGCCTCCCGCTTATGGGCGGGCGGAGCTCAAGGTGAGCACCCACATGCTCGCTCATTGAAGTGTGGCGGGAGCAGGGTGTTGATGCAGAGGCGAACCTTGCAGGGAAAGGAGGCATCGGAGTTATTTATGGGTTGTAAGTCTGCAACGCCGGGTAACCACGCAGAGTAAAGTACTTGGGAAGAGCGGGAAGGCCCAGTCGGGAAACTGATTGCTGCTAGATTTGGGATCATGCCCACTAGAGACACCAGCTCTGTCCTGGACACTCTCTTATTACTATTTATTATTTGTATAGAGGTAGCACCTAGGAACCCCCATTATGGCCCAAGACCTGATTGTCCTATGTGTTGAACAAACACAGAACAAATAGAGAGCCCTCAGTCTCAAAGAAAATACAGTCTCAACCCTGCCCTGGCTGGTTCATGGTTCTGCCATTCTTAGTATGACTCTGAAATCAAGGACTGAGGCCTTGTCTAAAAACATTAGTTTAACTTAAACTGGCTTTTAAATTGATTGAATTAAACTGGGGCAACCTCTGTCTGGACACACTTAAATCAGTTTACCACTGGCTGGCAGCCATAATTTGGTAACTCCCTCTCAGACCTATGGGGGTGTAGGGGGTGTTCCTTACAGGTCATAGTCAAGGCTTCTGGTAGCGTGTTGCATGGGATTAGCTTTGCCTCTGCCCACATCATGACTGGATACAGAGTATTTCATGCTCCAGATCTGTGACTCCAGGGCCTTTTGCCAAGCAGTAACATTCCTTTAAAACTTACATAAATGAGTCGAGACAGCCAGATCTTTCAGGAGTCTAATGAAATCACGAACGCTGGATTTTAATTGGCTTCTTACTCTTGCTATATCAAATGATCATCATCACTCATGTCAATGCAAACCCTCATTCTGGGATATAAAAAGTAGAATACCTTTGGACATGGGGATGAAGAATTTAAGCAGAGGAGGCTGATCTAGAGCAGGTTGGCCTTTGGCAGGGAGAAAGAGAGGGACATTGGGAAGGGAATTCCTGCCCCATGTCTCAGTGCTTTGCACATCCTCAAGTGTGAGTCATCAAGCCAAGAGATCCAGGCGAGGAAAAACAGTCAGATTAAGCCATATCCAGCCCTGGTGTAAGCAGATGGCTCTCCCATGGAAATCTCCTGGACACGTTCATTGGTAGCTAAGAGAGCCCTGTAAATTGCACATCATGCCAAATTCTGTTGACAGTTACTCCAGAATGCGGGTTAGCTGAGTTAAGAGCGGACCTTTTTTTTGCAGTGTAGACAGACTCTAAAGTAAGCAGAAAACCAGCTCTCAGTATCAATCTGGAAATGATGGTGGAGCCTGATTCTTTACTGCCCTGCACCTTGTGCGGTCATTTACACCAGACCAGGGTACCACATGGGCAAAGTAGGTAGGTGTAAAACGCTCCCACTGGCGGGAGCAGAGCACTCTGGTTTGTCAACATTTCTCACCCCACCCCCTTTGCCCAGGTGAAAATGGAGTCACAGGGTCAGACTCCATAGCTGGTGCACATCAACATAGCTCCATTGACTTCAAAGCAGCCAGGTCAGTTTACATCAGCTGAAGATCTGGACCACAAGGTGCAAGGTCCATAGAGGTCATGAGCAGCCGGGTGTGAGTTAGGGCAGGCAGTTCACCCCTCTCCCCGCAGCAGAGCTGAAATCAAGGAGATACACGTTTCCACCTGCCAGTCTCTGCAGTAAGTCAAGCCTCAGTACAGGGAAGAATTAGGCCCCAGGAAGCCAACTGTCCAAGGTCTGGTTTAGATTAGAAAAGTCATGCACCAAATTAAATTAAAACCAATTTAAACAATGGTTAAGTGCCTCTACCTTTGGGGCTCACCCCAGATGGGTTTGGTCACACCAGGGCAACTTGCCTAACCTAGATAAGAGCTGGTCAGAATTTACTTTTTATAAAACATGTGTTGATGAAAAAAATGGCTTTTGGAGCAAAATGAAAACAATGTGTGGAAAAAAATTTCCTTTTGCTGGAAATCATCATAATTGCAGTAGTCCCAAAGAGTGTCAGTCCTGGACCAGAAATTCCCAAAGAAACACATTCCCCCCCCCCTCCCCTCGCCCTGAAATTTTGCAAGAAAAGTAACCAGCATTTCTCAAGCAGCTCTAACCTGAAGGGTGGACGTGACTGAGGTGCTGGGGGATGAAATGCTGGAAAGGCTCAGGCGACAGCAGGAGAGGCAGGATGGGTGAGCGATCAGGATGCTAGCCTCTGTGTTTGGAGGCTTTTGCTCATGTCCCTCCTCCACCATCCACTCCCCGTGCGACCCGGGGTAAGTAAGTTCACCCCTCTCTGCAAAATCAGCCTCCCAGCATGGCTTTGCAGGGGTAGGGTTGCCAATTTTGGTTGGATATATTCCTGGAGGTGTCATCTCTCATTCCTGGCGACTCCCGGACAATCTTGGAGGGTTGGCGTCCCTATGCGGGGCTGTTGCGAGGAGAAACACATTGCAGACTGGGAGGCGCGCAGACCCTATAGTAAGGGAAGTCACAGAAGTGCCTTAGATGGCTGCCACAAATCCAGCCCGTGACCCTACGCGGCACTGAGCATCAAAGGCCGACTGGTCCGCGCCAGCCCGAAACAAGGGATCTCGTGTTTGTTTCATGTGCTGCTTCTCCGCCAAGAAAAGTGCAACTCAGCGCCAAGGGGCTGACTCGGAGCCCTTTCAGAAAGGAGCAGCCGCTTGGCTCCGAGAGCACGACGCCGGCAGCGGGATCTGCCTGGAGCCCGGGCGCTTGACATGTTCAGTGTTAGTAAAGATTTTTTTTTTTAAACATCTCTCTATCCCAAGTGCCTTGATTGACACCCTAATAGCCCCCTCCAGATGCGAGAAGGTCAGATTTGAATGTAATCAGTCTTTTTTCCCCTTCCCGAGGAGATGCATAAACATGGCAGAGCAGCGGGAGGCTGCGGGCGGTGGGGGTGGTGGTGGTGGGGTTCTGATAAGCTTTCCTCTGGCTCCCGTCCAAATCATTTTAATGACAGGCTGCCTAGCTGCATGGTGACCCATCTCTGATTGAGTGCCTATGGAATCATTTACATTTAAACAAAGGAAAACAGCCCCAGTCTACTAGTGATTAAGCAGCCAAACACATGGCGAGATGAAAGCCATCACTTGAAGCGGGGAACCCCCTCTCTCATGCCCAACATACTTTCATCAGCTCAGCACAAGTGGGCTATTTCTTGGCTGGCTGTTAAAGGAGACGCCACAGCTGATTTACTTGTCGATTCCCCGGTCCTTTGCGCCGCCTTAGCTCTCTCTTTGGGGTAGGGCTACATTGCAGCTGGGAGGCCTCTTGAAGTAGAATGCTAAATCCACCAGCGTGGCTGCAGGGGTGGCAGCTTGGGCTAGCCGCTTGAGCACATAGGCAAAGGGGTCAGATGGCCTGCACTCGGGCAGCTAGCCAAGTCACCGCTCACACTGCTGTAGCCACACAGATATTTTGAGCTAGCGCGTGTCTGTCTGCCTGCACTGGGAAGCATGCTCCTGGCTGCAGTGTAGACATGGCCTAAGAGGTTTGAAAAATGATGCCAAAAAGCGAGGACCCCTGGGTCCCGTTCCCAGCTCTTCTGCTGACTCGCTCTGTAATCTTGGAGCCTAAAATTTGGCAGCTGCTTTGCAGGTGTCTCGCAAATCCAGGCACCCAAACTCAGCCGCCGCTTCTGAAAGCGTGGGCCTTAAGCTTTGCACGCCTCGGGTTGCTCCATCTGTTTAACAGGGGTGACGATGCTGGCAAAGCTCAGCTCAGGTTGATTGGAAGGACCACTAGTTTCACTGGAAACTCGGTCCATGTCCACCGTACATCTCACAAACTTCCCCAGCTCTTGAAATAGGGGATGCAACAGGCAAGCAACAGAACTCTATGGAGCATGCTGAGAAGCCAGTGATACATGCTAGATGCTCTGCTGATGGGGTAGCTGCCACCAGACCCTGGGTTGTAATTCCTGAGCCCCTTCTCTCTCCTGAAACCTAACCCACTTTCTCCCCTCCACCTGTCTCATTCTGAATCCTCTCCTCAGAAAGCAGGGGTGGGGCAAGGCCCCCTTGCACACAAAGAGACAGAAAAATGAACAAGGGGAATGCTGCCTAGAGAAGCCCAGTGTTCAAGCCCAAGAAGAGAAAGCCAAGACAATGCAACGTTCTGGTTTTCTCTCATCCTCCAAACATACTTTTCCTCTCCCATCAAGACCCCCTGAAAGCAGAGCTCTCTAAATTCCCATGCATTGCGCTATCCAGACCCATGCTATCTTAGTTCAGCACCCCGTATTGGGAAGCTACCGCAACATGCTAACAAGATAACAGGACGATTTCAGTGACGCTGGTGGTGGAAGCCCAGCACAACTCCCATTGATTTTGAATGCTTTAATCCAGAAGGCATGTGTTTGCAGTGTTGCCAGTTCTCACAAGTCTCAGCATATTTGGTGCTTTTCTTAAAGCCCAAGCTCCTGGAATCATGTGAGACTCAGCTTTAAAAAAAAGTTAAAGTACATTCCTAGCCCTCCTGGTTGCAGAGAAAAACTTGAAAATGTGACCCAAGTGCACCCCGAAAGTTAAAAAACCAGGAGACAAGTGAAAAAAGGAACCTCGACTATATTTTTTAAATAAAATCTCTGGTTGCCCAGATAACGGGGCGCAGGTCTGGGCAGAGGGCGTGTTAGTTGGGAGGAGTTGGGGGACTCCCATGTGAAACACACAGCTCTGTGGCTGCAGGTGGAATAAATGATTTGGGTGGGACTCGATTCATGATTTTTGAACACTTGGGGCTCACTGGTGGTGCTGTGAGGGTGAACACACTCAGAAGCAGGGCTAGCCAAGCGATACGCTCTACGTAGTCGCACCCATTTCCCTAACGTAAGCAGGCCCTCGGTGTTCTCACTGCAAAGGGCAAACCCTTAGCGTATACCCCTTAACACCACACTGGAATCCCGCTGGTGTTTCTTTCTCTCCTCTCCAAACATGTGGGAGCAGAGATGAACTCAGGGTGAGCAGAACTTCGGGGAACACGAACAACTACATAGTCCCGTTGCCCAAAGATTTGGGCTGCCGGGTACAGCTGAAACAGAAGGTGCTGCAAAAACACAGGTTGCCCAGATAACGGGGCGCAGGTCTGGGCACAGGGCTTGTTAGTTGGGAGGAGTGGGGGGACTCCTATTTGAAACACACAGCTCTGTGGCTGCAGGTGGAATAAATGGTCTGCGTGCCCCAGAGGAACCCTACATCCTGCAAACAATAACAGGAACATTTAAATGCCATAAACCCCTTTTTATCAGGGAGATATTTTGCATCAATGGCAGGTGCGCGCGCCTTTCCTCGGAGGGGTCCCTAGCAGATAGCACCGCTTATAAAATTATTAACAAACAAATGAGCTGCTTCTCTCCAATTAAATGATAAGAGCCACAGCAAAGGGGACCGATTTTTATCACCATCAGATTACGGGCCCATATTGTGCCGATAAAAAAGCAGGCACTTGCTAATATGTTACCTGCAAAGTGGCTCTTTAGATCCCTGTTTAGCCGGGAAAGAAATATAAAGGGATAATAATGCTGGAAGCGTCTTTACCGCAGGACACTCTAAGGAACATAATGGAGTAGCATGAAATGACTAACACTGATGACAATGAGGATAATGAGCACAAGAGAGGCAGAAGGGGCTGTGGGGCTATTGCCCAGACTGCCGAGCAGTGTTCCAGAACATCATTGGTTCTGCTAAGGAGATAAACCCTTAATGGGGAGTTCATTTCACTCAGGGCTGCTGTCTTACGAGGCATACAGAAGAGCAAAAATAACCAGGGGAGGAGCAAAGGAATATTAGGAAAACCATGGAATTTTCTGCTACCGGACTTTAGAAAGTAGACGTGAATGGCAGGATTGGCCATACTAGACAGTATAGCCTAGTGGATAGAGCACCAGCTGGGACTCGGTTCAGTCCCCAGCTCTGCTACTGCCCCTGCTGGGTGACCCTGGGCCAGTCACTTCACCGCTCTGTGCCTCAGTTTTCCCAGCTGTAAAATGGGGATAATGATACTCAAGTGCTTTGAGATGATAAGAGCTAGGTGTTATCGCAATCCCTCGCCTCCATTTTACTCTCTCTGTTAGTGGCCAACACCTGGTGCTTCAGGGGACATCAAATATAAACAACGGTGAGCCGGGGCTAACAACTTTGCTAATTGCTCGACATGGGGGGAGAGAGATTTCCTTTCTGACCCCTGAATCATTCATGCTCCGGAGCACCAGAAGGCATTATATTTACCATAGTATTTATGGCTAAAAAGGCAGTTGTTGATGCTAAAGCTATGCAGCTCTTGTGGGCGGGGGGCAGTGTCCAGATACTGTATTTGACTCGATGACTTCCTGCAGCAGTGAGTCCCATTGGCTGTGTGCAGGGCATGAGTCTCATCTCCCCCGGGTATAAAATCAGGAGTGACTGCAGTAGAGTCACTGGGCCAGATCCCCAGCTGGCGTACATCAGTAAACTTTTGCGGAGATCTACCTGTTTATACCAGCTGAGGGTCCGGCCTAACAGAATTACAAGCGCAAAACTGGTGCGGAAGGAGGGTCAAACCAGTTGTATCGGCTTCAAAGCCTGGTGGTCTCAAAGACGAAGATGTGATAATGGCTGAGGGGCGTGGGGACCATCAACATTAATTAGTAGCTATTATTACAGAAGTGTCATGGGGTAGGTCGACATTGCAATTAAACACCCACCGCTGGCCCATGTCAGCTGACTCAGGCTTCTGGGGCTGTAAAATTGCGGTGTAGACAAAATTGCAGTGTGGACCCGCGAGGCGGGAGCGTCGCAGAGCCCGGGCTCCAGCCTGAGCCCCAACATTTACACTGAAGTTTTACAGCCCTGCAGCCTGACCTCCACGAGCCTGAGACAGCTGGCATGTGCCAGCCACGGGTGTTTAATGGCAGGGTAGACCTACCCTTGGAGTCTTCATCCCATTCACATGAAACCTCCCAAAACTCTGGAACTTCTCCAAACTTTCTGAAACTCAAATTTGTAAACCTGGGCTGCAGATCTCCTAGAAACAGGCTTCTGAGGTTTTGAGTTGTTCCTTCTGGGACCTGACATTTCCCAGGGAAGAGCATTTTTTTCATGATAACTTGTGCAATTTGGTTTCCAGGCCTGGCAGGCAGCCAGATGAATAGAACTAGAAAATAACTCAGTGCCATGAAAATGGGAAATAACTCCCACCAAGTTAACCAGATTTCTTCCAGACTCAGGCTATGTTTACACTACTGAGGCCATGACTACACTACAGAGTTATGACGACTTAACTTATGTCGGCATACGGCCACCGCAGTTACTAAATGGCTTGTGTGCGCGCGCGCTTGGCTCCTCGCTTCGGCAGCGCATGCGCTCTCCAGGAGCACTAGTATCGATTGTGCCGTCAGTGTGGGGCAGTGTGGGACAGTTCCTGAAAGCCAGGAACAGTCCACGTAAGCCACGCAGTGTCTACATTATGCAAGGCACTGCATTTAGCCGTATGGATTGGAAATCTATCAACTGCATGAAAAAACTCATGCAGATACAGACAGACATCATCTTCCTTTCCAAATGCAAACAGATGGACATTGTACCAAAAGGACCGAAGGTAAAAAATCCATTACAATCTACGTACCACACAGACTGTGCTGACAGCTTGTGCCACACGCTCTCAAAGAAACTGCGGAACCACCTGATCAACATCCTCTACGGCAAACAGGGAAAGATTAAGAATGAGCTCTCAAAATTGGATACTCTCATAAAAAAACAACCTTCCACACAAACTTCCTCGTAGCTGGACTTTACTAAAACTAGACAAGCCATTTACAAAACACACTTTGCTTCTCTACAAAAGAAAAAGGACACTAAACTATCTAAACTACTGCATGCCACAAGAGGCCACAGCAATGGTTCCCTCAACCCACCCAGCAATATTGTTAATCTATCCAACTATATTCTTAGCCCAGCAGAAGAATCTGTCCAATCTCGAGGCCTCTCCTTCTGCCCCTCCACCCCCAAGAACACGATACAGTTCTGTGGTGACCTAGAATCCTATTTTCGACATCTCCGACTCAAGGAATATTTCCAACACACCTCTGAACAACATACTAATCCACAGAGACCTTCCTACCAACACGACAAAAAGAAGGATTCTCGGTGGACTCCTCCTGAAGGTCGAAACAACAGACTGGACTTCTACATAGAGTGCTTCCGTCGACGTGCACGGGCTGAAATTGTGGAAAAGCAGCATCACTTGCCCCATAACCTCAGTCGTGCAGAACACAATGCCATCCACAGCCTCAGAAACAACTCTGACATCATAATCAAAAAGGCTGACAAAGGAGGTGCTGTTGTCATCATGAATAGGTCGGAATATGAACAAGAGGCTGCTAGGCAGCTCTCCAACACCACTTTCTACAAGCCATTACCCTCTGATCCCACTGAGCGTTACCAAAAGAAACTACAGCATTTGCTCAAGAAACTCCCTGAAAAAGCACAAGAACAAATCTGCACAGACACACCCCTAGAACCCCGACCTGGGATATTCTATCTGCTACCCAAGATCCATAAACCTGGAAATCCTGGACGCCCCATCATCTCAGGCATTGGCACCCTGACAGCAGGATTGTCTGGCTATGTAGACTCCCTCCTCAGGCCCTACGCTACCAGCACTCCCAGCTATCTTCAAGACACCACTGACTTCCTGAGGAAACTACAATCCATCGGTGATCTTCCTGAAAACACCATCCTGGCCACTATGGATGTAGAAGCCCTCTACACCAACATTCCACACAAAGATGGACTACAAGCTGTCAAGAACACTATCCCTGATAATGTCATGGCAAACCTGGTGACTGAACTTTGTGACTTTGTCCTTACCCATAACTATTTTACATTTGGGGGCAATGTATACCTTCAGATCAGCGGCACTGCTATGGGTACCCGCATGGCCCCACAGTATGCCAACATTTTTATGGCTGACTTAGAACAACGCTTCCTCAGCTCTCGTCCCCTAATGCCCCATCTCTACTTGCACTATATTGATGACATCTTCATCATCTGGATCCATGGAAAGGAAGCCCTTGAGGAATTCCACCATGATTTCAACAATTTCCATCCCACCATCAACCTCAGCCTGGTCCAGTCCACACAAGAGATCCACTTCTTGGACACTACAGTGCTAATAAACGATGGTCACATAAACACCACCCTATACCGGAAACCTACTGACTGCTATTCCTACCTACATGCCTCCAGCTTTCACCCTGACCACACCACACGATCCATCGTCTACAGCCAAGGTCTAAGATACAACCGCATTGCTCCAACTGCTCAGACAGAGACAAACGCCTACAAGATCTCTATCAAGCATTCTTATAACTACAATACCCACCTGCTGAAGTGAAGAAACAGACTGACAGAGCCAGAAGAGTACCAGAAGTCACCTACTACAGGACAGGCCCAACAAAGAAAATAACAGAACGCCACTAGCCGTCACCTTCAGCCCCCAACTAAAACCGCTCCAGCGCGTCATCAAGGATCTACAATCTATCCTGAAGGACGACCCATCGCTCTCACAAATCTTGGGAGACAGGCCAGTCCTTGCCTACAGACAGCCACCCAACCTGAAGCAAATACTCGCCAGCAACCACACACCACACAACAGAACCACTAACCCAGGAACTTATCCTTGCAACAAAGCCCGTTGCCAACTGTGTCCACATATCTATTCAGGGGACACTGTCATAGGGCCTAATCACATCAGCCACACTATCAGAGGCTTGTTAACCTGCACATCCACCAATGTGATATATGCCATCATGTGCCAGCAATGCCCCTCTGCCATGTCCATTGGTCAAACTGGACAGTCTCTACGTAAAAGAATA